ACAAGGCTGAAAGGGGCAGACAGGAGCGCAGCTCTATGCTCAGAAAAGTTGCACAATCTGACAAATACCCACTCTCTTTATAAATAGTCTCTGGAAGCCAGTCAAAGGCAGGAAGTAAATCACTATTTTTTAAATTTCTATTTATTTCTCTTTCTCTTCTATAGAAAGCAGAAGCAGAAGCTCTGAGTGCACCTGTTGGAATCTGCCATTGTCACTGGCTGAGAAACCAGTTCACAGCCAGAGGAAAGCCTAAGTCTCAGGACTGGGATGCTCAGCTGCTCCTCCTGCCTCTCCCAGCTCCGAGGGATCCCACAGGAACACTGCTGCCCACTCCCACGGTGAAGAGCTGGAAGGACTGCCAAGGACCCTCCCTTACAGTTTCCACGGCAGGGAACACCCGAATTCCACCACTTCTGGAACTTCCCTTGGCCCACGGTAACTTCCCTTGGCTCTGGGGGGAGAACATGTCCATGCTCAGGGAGTACTTGTTCTGTTGGGATTGCACTTGGCAGCTGAACCTGTTACATGCTTCAGAGCAAAAGCCAATTTTGTCTATCTTAGAGGGAGAAATAAAACTTTGTGGCTCTGTAAGACAGATGTCAGGGATTTGAGCATGAGCTGACAGCACATCAACTCCTCCAGTGCCTGTTTTACACAGGCAGAGCTCAGACAACGAGTCATGTAAATAACTGCATCACTACACCTGAGAGTCACCCCAGCCCAGCTCGGGCCCCACCGGCTGCATGCACTTGTTCCCAACACAAAATCAGAAGCAGACTGACAAGGCTCACAATTTCACTCTTTTCTGTTTGTTTCTCCAGGGAAGGGGGGACATCAGAGTGCAAATGAAAGCCACAACCCACTTCAGCTCCCCCAGGAACTACAGCAACTGTACCAGCGACAGCAGGATCAGCCAAGTCATCTTCCCTTTGCTGTACACATTTCTATTCCTGGTGGGCATCACCATGAACGGCCTGGCAATGTGGATCTTCTTCAAAATATCCAGTAAATCCAATTTCATCATCTTCCTCAAGAACACTGTCATTTCCGACTTTCTCATGATCTTGACTTTTCCATTCAAAATCCTCAGTGATGCAAAGCTGGTGTCGTGGGTCCTGCGAGGGTTCGTGTGCCAGGTCACCCAGGTTGTGTTTTACTTCACCATGTACATCAGCATTTTATTTCTTGGTCTGATAACTATTGATCGCTATCAGAAAGCCACTTCACCATTCAGAACATCAACTCCACGGAGCCTTTTGGCTGCCAAGATCCTTTCCACAGCAATCTGGGTATCTATGTTTGCTCTTTCGTTACCCAACATGATTTTAACTAACAAGAAGAGAACACCCAAGAACGTGAGGAAGTGTGCTCTCCTCAAATCTGAGTTTGGCTTAATCTGGCACGAAAGTGTAAACTACATTTGCCAGCTCATCTTCTGGGTTAATTTAGCAGTCATAGTGGTATGTTACATCCTCATCAGCAAGGAACTCTACAAATCCTATAAAAGGACAAGATGCACAGGGAAGGCATCCAAAAAGACTGTCAATCTGAAGGTTTTCATCATCATCGCTGTGTTCTTTATTTGTTTTGTGCCGTTCCACTTCACCAGGATCCCCTACACCTTGAGCCAAACGAGAGACGTGTTTAACTGCTCTGCTCAGAACGCCCTGTTCTACCTGAAGGAGACCACGCTGTGGCTGACATCCCTCAATGCCTGCCTGGACCCGTTCATATACTTTTTCCTTTGCAAGTCCTTCAGGAAGTCCTTGCTGGGCACTCTGCGCAGGCACACGGCGCTGTCGGGGCTCGGGACACGCACCCAGGAGCAGAACGAAGGGGATGACACGGACGAGACGCCCGTCTAGAGCTCAGGGGTCCCCACACCCCTTCCTGCCCTTCCACCTCATCGTGGGGGGAAGGAGCACAAATCCTGTGGAGAGTACCCAGAGCTTCACTGACCTCTTTAGAAATTGTCCTGCAGATGAAGCGGGAGCACCCTGGAACCACCACCACTGGCTGCAGAAACAGAAAGCTTGAATAACAGAGGAGTCTCCCCAACCTCCATCCTTGCCAAAAAGGACCTCCTGTGACCCCAACCACCATGCCTGTCAGAACTGTAGGGAAGTAGCTTGAACTTAAAGGTAGAACTGTGAGGAAAACTTCAAAGAGAATCATGAAATGCTACAGACGAGATCACAAGCTGCCAAGATTTTGCAGAAACAGATAAATTTGGGTCAGAGTAAAGTCCATGACAACACAAGATCTGGGAAATGCAGCTAAAATCCACACTAAATGTAATTTTTCAATACAGGGAGCTGTCACCTGGTACACAACTGGCAGACAAACAAACCTAGGCCGGATGTACAGGAGCCATTTGTCTGTGCAGATTTTTGGTAACAGAATAACACTGTGCTTTTCTCATTCTGTGCTTGCAATTCCTAATCCATTGACCAATAACTAATAGTTGTAACAGTTGTACGTCAGAGGAAATTATTTCATAATCAGGCTTATCTTAATATGACTTATATCCTCAAATTCTTCCCCTTACTACATAAATAAACAAAACTGTACACTTTTACAGAGAATGATATATTATATTAGAAAATATGTAAAGACTTTTTGCACTATACAAAATATTCAACCATTTCCCCCTTTGCAATTGGAAAACTTGGAAAAAAAAACAGGGAAGTATTTTCAGGTACATGACATCTGCAGGTATCACAACAACAACACATGAAATAGCCCGTGGGCTATTGGAATAAATTGTGGTTCATTTATCAGCACTGCAAACAGCTGTAATTAATCAGTGTGTGTCACCATCACACCAGAGCTCAGGCCTGCCCAAGCCATCCCCTGTCCACCCTTCCCAGGACGTGTCCCTGCCTGCCAGGGCACTTCTGCCACTGAACCCCAACTTCCAAAGTTAAAAGGCAGCTCACTCACTGCCACACTGAGCATCTCTAATAACCTCAGGATGAGTTAAACCTTCCACCAACCCTTTTGTGCCCTGCTGATGCTGGTCCCTGCCCCAGCTGACACAGTATCAGTAACGGGGTTCCACCGCAGGGCACAGAGCACCAGGATTTCCCTGGAAACAGTGCTCAGTCACCCTGGAGTGTGCTCCCACAGCAGCCCACAGGCCCCCAGGCCAACCAGTTCCCACTAGTGCCCAGGAGGGATGTGCCAGATGCCCCACTCCCACCCAGCACCCATTGCACATATTTACTGCACCTACCCCCAGGGGCAGAGTGGCAATCACCTGGCAGCTGCTTCCCCTGGTCTGATGAGCTGTTCAGAGAACAGACACACAGACACTGTGACCCTCACAGAGGTACCTGGTACCTGCTGCCTTTGACAGCTGGGAACAGCATCAAGAGCTCAGTTTGGAAGAAAACACAGAAGGCATTGCACTGGACATCAGTCCTGGAGCATTGCAGTGGACTGTGTCACCTTCACACTGTCACTGATGGGCAAACAGGAGGCGGGTTGGGCAGCCAGGGACACATCACACTGATGGCAGTGGCAAGGCTGAGCTGCATCCCAGCCATCCTCAAGGCTCTTCAACCTCCCCAGCCATTTAACACTGACACCAGCCCCCACATTAGCCAAAGTGTATCAGGTACTGATGCACAGACTCCCTGTCACAGCTGCAGCCCAAGCATCTGGAGAATCCATCCATGCCTGCCCCAAAGGGACAGTTTGACCATGAGGCACTTCCCACACTGCAGCGAGCACAGAGCCAGAGCTGTCACATCAGTGGGCAGGAACAGGCTTGCACAAACAGCTCTGTTCACAGAGAAATGCACCAAACTCCAGCATTACACCTAACAAACACATCATCAATCCACAGCCTTGCATGCAGCAGTACCTCCTGCCAGGACCAGAAAGTGGCTGTAACCAGCACAGCACATCATCTGGCTACACAGACCAAAATAAACCAGTTTTACTGGTTTATTTACAGAGTACCCACTGTAAGGTGGCTCTGAGCAGACTCTGGTCACACATTAACAACAACTAGTGCCATCCAGAACAGCGAATTCACACACACAAACAACAACTTGGAGCTACATTTGAGGATTATCCTGGAAAACTGTCAGGAAATACTCTGCATTTGTTCATCCCACATCTCTAAAGGAGCCAAATCAGAATGCCCAGAGCAGGAGCAGCAGGTCTGTCCTGCATACACACAAACCCAGAAATGTGTCTGTCTCGAGGGACGGGGTCACGCTTCCTTTACCAGTTTAGGAGAAGGCAGTGTGCTTTCTCATGCCGAGCAAAGGGAAGAGAGAAAGCATGATTAACTAACTTGGTGACACATGAAAATGAGGAAGGAAACCACACACCACACCACCAGAAAAAGATCTCTTCTTTCTACTCATTTCCCCTTTTTTAATACTTTGCTCAAGGCTTCTGTTGGCGGAGGAGCAGTGGATGATCCGGGGACAGCCACGGAGGCCTCTGCAACAGCTGCTGCAGGTTTGCTCAGGTACTGGCACGGCCGGAGCATTGGGGGCGTGATGGGGTGCTCGGGGTTGATAACCACCATCTGACCTCGGAAACGCTGTCTAAAGGTGTGCTGAGAAAGCAAAACAGTGTGTGCTTGGACAAAAACACCAGAAGGCACCTCCCCAGGAGTGCTTGGCTTTTGGCCCACAGCGGGGACATTTCTATTTAATGCTAAAATATCCCTCCAGGAAAGACAAACAGTGCTCCAGGCAATCTGCACTTATACCCTGCTACAACATTACCTTAGGCCTCCAGAATGAGTACGTACCATTTTAACTTTTCAGTGGATGTTAGTTTGTAAACAACCTAGACTTGGGCAAATATTTAGATTTTCTGTAAACCACAGGAGAAATTGGCCAGTCTGCGTAACGCACGCTCAGGTTTTTTGTTTGTCCGTGCAAACCTGCCACCCCCGTAAGGAGCACGTAACATTAAATGCAGAAAGTTATGTTTTGTGCTTTCTGTCTCCTTTTCATCCAAGTCTTTTTCCAGCGATGGGAGACCCTGCCAACACGAGCACTGTGGGTTACACCGGCGGAGCCCCCTCCTCCCCGCCGTGCCAGCGCGACACCAGCGTCACCCGCCTGCTCTTCCCAGCGCTGTACACGCTCATCTTCCTCCTGGGACTCACACTGAACTGCCTGGCTTGCTGGGCTTTCTGCCACATCCCAAGCACATCAACTTTCATCGTCTACTTGAAAAATATCTTAGTTTCAGATCTTATAATGACCCTGATGCTTCCTCTGAAGATCCTGACAGACTCTGGCCTGGGACCGTGGCAGCTCAAAGCCTTTGTCTGTCGCTTCTCAGCCGTCGTGTTCTATGACACCATGTACATTAGCATAGTGCTGCTCGGGCTCATTGCTTTTGACAGATTTCTCAAGATTGTGAGACCTTTTGGGAAGTTCTGGGTGCAAAACCCGACCTCAGCAAAGATCCTCACGGGTCTGGTCTGGCTCTTCTTCCTTGTTCTCTCTCTGCCCAACACAATCTTATCCAACAAGACAGCGACGCCCCAGTCCGTGAGGAAGTGTGCCTCCTTGAAGAGCTACCTCGGACTCAAGTGGCATGAAGCCGTCAGCTACATCTGTCAGTTCATCTTCTGGACTGTCCTCATCCTCATGTTGCTATTTTATATAATTATCACCAAAAAGGTATATGAGTCATATATAAAAACGCAGAAGAAAGACAACAAAAGGGAAAAACGGATCAAGGGGAAAGTATTCATCATTTTTACCGTGTTCTTCTTGTGCTTTGCCCCCTTCCACTTCAGCAGGGTCCCCTACACTCTGAGCCAAACAACTGCCCACGTGGACTGTGCCCTGCAGAAGCAGCTCTTCGTGGCCAAAGAGAGCACACTGTGGCTGGCGGCCACCAATGTCTGCATGGACCCCCTGATCTACATGGTCCTGTGCAAGCCCTTCGTGGAGAAGGTGTTATGCAGGAGAGTAAAGACCCGTCGGAGAGCATTTTATAGAAACCCAAAAACTGAACTGGACACACAAGTGTCTCCTACCGAGTCTTGATTCTGAAGCTGCACACTCTACTCTGCGTGCTCATAGGGAACTTGGAAAATAGTTTTGGTTTACCTCTGTTGGAGAAAACAAAAGGGTGGCTGCACTGTAATATTAATACTTAATAAAAACAGCAAAATGGGTTTTCTATGTACACTCACTGGTCAGCCTCAGTGGGCAAAAAGCTCTTCCCTCTGCTCCCAGCAGCACTTTGGTGGAGGACAGTGTTGGCAACACCCAGGTCCCCCCAGGGCACACTCCTCATCCAGGCCAGTAGAGCACCCAGGACTGCATCCCCACAAAGGGCACCCCAGAGCTGCTGGTGCTCACCCCCACCCTACCACTCACCAGAGGGGAACACTCAGAGATGTCCCCCTTGGTGGCACATTTACCCTTCCCAGTCCCAACAACAGAGCAAGAGAAGGGAGCAAGGAACCCTCCCCACCCAGAGAACCCCTCCCCACCCAGCTCACTGCACCACTCACAGAGCTCCTCCTTGGCTATCCCACACAGGCTGTGACTGGAGAGAAACTACTTTCTAACCCAAAATCCTGGAACTTATGGCACTCTTTTAAGACATGAAATATATACCAACCACTTACTGGCTCCAACTCTCCAAAGCAGAGCAGCCATGTCACTTATCCCCAACCACCCCTTCTCCTCCAGCTCTCCTGACAGCTTTGTGCTCTCTCACACGTGCCAGACACTTTGATCACCACTTCACTGCTATTTTTAGAAATTCATTATTTACAGCAGCCTAATCCAATCCAGCAGGTTGCTCCATACAGCCTGCTTTTTTCAAAGCTGTTTTAGATTACTGTGCATTAATTACATCTGCCTTTGGGGTTCCCCAGCCTCTGCCACACAGGGAGATGTATGTCTTATTTAGCAACTCCTACCCACTACATCTCCTCTACCAGGCGTGTTACATACCATCCACAGCTGTAACACCCTTTTATAGCTGGAAACTGAACTAATCCCCAGTCAGCTTCCAGTTGGCTATGAATTTCCCCATAAATCAGTGTTATCTCAGCCATTGTCTTGCTCTTGGGATTAAATGCTATTCAGGAATTAATTCCTCTCTCCCCACACACATACAGTGTTAACAGAACTAACTTTGCTCCTTTAGGAAAAGTAAATACATTGAATTCTTAGCTGCTGAAATAGTCATCACTTTAGCAACTGCTTAAAGGAACATACAGGAGGCTGGAGATGTTCCTCTCAGCCTATTGACACAGTGTGGAAATGAACAGAGGGGCCTGAGCTAAACACTGGGAGAAGGGGTCTGTAAAACAGCTGTGACCTTCCACCAGGCAGGTGCCCACTGAAATCTGTGCTCCTGAACCTTGGATGTGCGAGGGGAGAATCCAGGACAAACCTCTGCAGCTCAGTCCTCCTTCTTCCCTCTGAATCCCACTGGCACAGGCAACACACAGGTCCCCAGCACTGACATCCAGCTCTGCATTTACAGTGGAAAACTGAGCAGTGTGGCAGGGAGAAAATAAGAAAATGGTGAAGTAAGAAAACTTATTCCAGTGTGGAAATGTCTTTTATTTTCTGATTTCTACTGCTTTGATTGATGCCCATCTAATGCCCTGCACACACACACTGGCAGCTCCCCCAGCTCTGTGCTGAGAGCCCGTGAGCAGGGTGGGTGTGACCTCAAAATGGGCTGAGTTGCTCCGTAAATAAGGGGTGTGCCAAAGGTTTCTGAGGAGTCTTAATCATCTGTTTTTCAGCTGCTGTTTCTTAGGTAGGTAAAAGGGAGCCAAAGTTACCAAATTGTAGCAGAGAATAGAAGGTGACTGCAAGGACAGGACACCTGTTGATCCACTTAGGGGAAAAAAAGGCCCTGAATTCTAAGACTTGGGATTTTGCATGTTTTTCTGCAAATTTTTAGATCCCTGCCTCCAGATGGAGTAAAAATCACAACAGTTAAAATGCCTCACAGTTTAGGTCTCTGCTTTTTGAGGCTCAAAGAAATACTCAGGTTTATGTTTTTATGTTTTACACCTGACCAAAAGGGAGACATGTTTAGAGTACAGACCTCCCTTGGAACCAGGAGCCCCAGAGCACAGGGAGGGAGTACAGCAGCATGCCACAGAACTGCTTCATTGGGCTCCCCAGATTCCTTCAGTGCAGCCAAGAGATTTATAGAATTCAGCAGAGTTTACCAGTGTATTCAATACAACAGTCACCATTTTTCCAAATCTGATTTTTCTCCCAACCCAACTAGAAGAGGCTGGAGCTGACCCAAGAGAAACCCTTGTGTTCAGTGATACAGCAGCTGTACAGGACAGCAAACACACCATTCCCACCATACCTGTGCTCACTCCAGCCCATCACACCAGGAGGCAGCAGCAGGGCTCGCCCTTCCCACAGCCATAGATGTTCCCTTGCATGGCTTGCCCTCACTCCAGACAACCTAGAAACTGGAAACTGGCACCAGGCCTTCGACCTGTTTGGAGAGATGACCCTTGTCCAAGGCTCCCATGGGCCAGGATTCACACACAAACTACTGACACTTGTCCTTAACACCTCTACAGGTCATTCAAAGGAAAGCTACAGGGCACTGAGAAGTCAAGTTTGGTAGGAAATCACTTATTTGGGTACACAAAGGCTTACATAAATTTCTTTGTATTTTGCACTTTACTTGTGTTTCACATAAGGGAAGTATTTTATACCCTTGCCTAACACACACACACCATCGAGGCCTCAGCCTGCCTCTCCTCCATGGGACAGCACAGTAATTCCTGAGTGCCCAAAGACAAACTCAGCTCTTCATCCATGTCCTGACCCTCAGCACAGCAATACATATCCCCCCAGCCTACAACCTGAGTACTGAGAAAGCTCTCATAGCACACAGCAGTGCTTTAATTAGAAATGCAAACAAACAATTTGCATCCTGAATCAGAGCTGGGAAGCCAAGCTGAGCAGTCAAGGCATGACCCACGTGAAAGCACATGCAGAGCCAGCACGGGAGGACTGAAGGCACCAGGACAGGCTTGAGCCTACAGCTGGAATCAGACAGCCAAGGCTGGGAACTTCAGGCTGTGAGGAACTTGAGGATCGAGAGAAAAAGGACTGAGCTTTTAAAGTCAGGTCTGAATTAGCTCCTTTCCTCCTTCCTTCCCTGTTAGTGACAGTCATCACACAGTGACTGGAGTAATCCACTACAGGAAAGGAGAAGTATCAGCTCTTCCAGGACACTTCCCCTGACAAAAGCACCTTCACATCTGCACGTGTAATGCTGGAGAATCCTCCCTGTGTCGCAAGCTCTGGCCCTGCTGCCACTTTTCTGCTTAAAAAACAGAAACAGCCTGTCCTGTGCATTACCCAGGTGGTGAATCTGCTTTAACATAACCCTGCAGTTTGTATTGCTAAATATGGCAGTGAAGGAGTTTTAGAATGAAGCAACACAGTAATTGTTGTAATAACGTTGTTCAGGTTCTTATGAAATCTGAGAGTTGCTCTCTAATCACCAGAACACAAAAAGGGACATCCAGCCTTTAAATAACGTGAACAATAGTGAAGTTACAGGTTACCTTCAGCTTTTCTTTACATCAGAGCTTCGCGTTTCTCCCGCGCCGTTTTTACGACAAACTCGCCACGTTTCGTGTGTCAGCTCGTCCTGACCTGCTCCAGCCTGGGAGCAGCCAACAACACGTCTGCGCTGGAGCCTGCCTGGGGATGCCAGGGCACTGGGTTCTAACCCATCGAGTTTTGCTGAGGCACCAAAATACAGGGATTTTAAAGACAAAATAATGTGTCATTGCACAGCATTCAAAAATCAAACAAGCCAAAACCCCATTCTGGTGTAGATTTTATTTGTTATTTGACCACTACTCACACATCAGCTTTGGTGTGTGCACTTCATTCCCAGAGTGCTGGCTCATGAACACTTGGTCTCTGTAAGAGATTAAGTTACATTTTTTAAAGATTTGAGTTCTGACTTCCAACTTCTTCCCTCCTCCATAGCACATCCTGCTGAGCTGGTTCTTAGAGCCCAGCCTGAGGGACACCAGCACCGGCAAGTGCCTGAAGAACGACAACATGAATGTAGCCATCATGTGCTGTTGTGCTGTGTCTGGATCACAGCTCACAGGCCTCAGGACACAGGAGCAGCCACACCACACCAAGGCCAAACTGTGCCCCCCACCAGGATGCAGGAATTGTGCTCCACAGCCAGGATGCAGCCAGCACTCCCTCCAGAGCCCACGGTCTCACGCACAGCACAAGGCAAGTGTGTAGCAGGTTGTTCCAGGAGGGTACAAACCCCCTACATACCCTCTGACTTTTGCTCCCCTATCTCCAACAAGCAGCTGGAAGGGGAACAAAACAGAAGCACCTGCCAAACCCTGAAGCACAAGGGACAGCCAAAAGCAGCTGAAATGGAAGCTGGCACACACAGTCCTACACAGTCACATGCAAGGTCTGAGAGAGGAAAAGTCTCCTCTTCCTGACCACAGAGGAAGCCTTCTCCATCCTCAGGGGATGCCTGCAACAGAGACCATCCCCTAATGTCAGAATCTCCAGCTCCTGGGATGAGTTTGGCAGCTTGTGGTAATAAAGCTGAAAACATAACAGAGTGGACCCGTGTTCCTACAACTTCATCTGCATGGACTGCTTTGCCTTGCAAAAGCCAGTCTGCAAAGGCAAGCTGTGCCAGAAGCCTCCTGTGATCAGTGACTGTGCCTGATTCAAGGGAGAGGTGCTGAGGCAAGAGGGAATGTTACAGTCTGCCCACTGCAGAAACCTGGGATTTAGCACAGGTTCCCTGGACCCAGGCCAGAGGAAGCTGCTCACCACTGCAGGGGAGGTCCTGCTCACTGGGCCCCTTGCAGGCTCCGTGCAGTGATGGGGCACCGAGGGGTGTCCAGTGTCAGCAGAGAGGGGCTGGGGGCTCAGTCCCTCGGATCTTCGGGGGGAAAATAAGAGAAATGTGTCTGGAGAAGTGCAGACAGGACACACAGAAGAGGGCCTCGACAGCCACTGCTCTCAGAGCACTGATATTATTTTTTGTTTTCTCATAATTTTTAACAAGGGAGATAGGTATTTGCTTTCTTTTAAAGAAGATGACAGAAATAGAAAATTACCCACTTGATCCTCCACTGACACAAAGCAGAATTGTGTCCCAACAGA